GCAGAGAAGGGAAATGCCTGTGTGCAGCCAGGAGAGCAGGTCAGAAGGGGAACCCTGGCCAGGCAGCTGCCTGCTCACATCATTACTCACAGCACCACAAACTCATCTCCCCAGCCCCTTTGTGTTGCTGTATTTTTCTTGAGCTGTAATCCAGCACAGACGTGCAACAAGAAGAGCCAGCAGCCCAACCGTATGTGAACTGAAGGCTAGGAATGACTCCTTGCAAAGCCTTCCAAGGACTGTCTCCTCATGCATTCCCATCAGGATATGAGGGCAAGCACGGAGCTAAGGGTTTAACACAAAGTGAGAGACACCTTTWGAAAAACTCATTCCCAACAGCAGCGCAATTATTAAGACCAAGGGAGCAAGTGAAGAGCTGGTCATATTCTGCAAACAGACTCTTATCTGTAAACAAGAAAAGCTGGAGTGAAAACTGCCGGAAGGATCAACAGCTTGGGACAAGAGAAGCCCCCCAGCTACATCCCAGGCTCCCAAAAGGTCTACCTAGTGGATCTGCGAAGTACTTGGATTTCCTGCGGTCAGGGACATGCCGTGGGATGCAATTTAGCAATGTTTAGGCTTAAGAGCCCTCCCCCCCAACGTCAAACTTTCCCGTAGTTTCCTGTCTTCTTGGAATTTCGTCTTTTTACAAGAATTAGGGAACCATTTCCCTGCATGTATGCTGCAGTACACAGAGAACACACTAATCTCAAAAAATGTAGCTTCTGCTAGCATCTCAGGAAGGGCCGGACTTGAACCTGCACCCTCCAGGAAAACCATCCTAGAGACTGCAAGGACAATGGGCCCAAAAAATATATCAGAAGGAGGAAGAGGCACCAAAGCAGCACCCAGAGGAAGGCTCCAAGGTTCACGACAGGTTGGGACACAATACCCTCCTATCTGTGGGTTTGAGCTTCCTCTTGCAGCAAACCAAAGTCCACCTGAGCAAACAGCCCCAGCGGAAAGCTGGAGCAAGATAACGATTGCCTTGCCACCCACATGGCAGAGCAGCTCTTCCCTCTGCAACTGAAAATTCACTGTGTCCAGCTGCCTGTGGTACGCTCCGAAAAGTGCCAGGCTGTCCCAGAAGCTCCTATCTCCTGCTGAGCAGCATGGAACCTCTGGCTTAACTCTGAAGCATCAGGTCCCTGCGGACAGGCCACTTCTTGCCCACCAGGTCTATAAGAGAGGCAAGGAAGGGCTCCCATTACAGAAGGGCTGTTGCCAGTCCCAGGGACGGCTGTCAGTAAAAAGACTTCCCGCTCTATGCGGAAGGGTGTCCAGAGGCAGCAGAAAGGGTGCTCCACTAGGAGCCCTACATGAGGGGTGTCCAAAGGCAGTAGAAAGCCATCCGAGGAACTAATCGTATCCCACTGGCAACAGCAAAACAAATGCACTGGGCACGCAGAATGAACACCCTCCTCCAGGATCAGGACCCTGAGTTCTCCCCTGGCCGGTTTGTCACCTCTCACCGTGCCTAGAGCTGGGGACCCTGCACTCAGGGCTCTGCTGCTGCAGCCAGGTCTGCACGGGTCAGCTGGGCTTGGGACAGGCTGTGCAGCCCGTGCTGCTGGGACCACCACCACCCAGGTTCACYGCAGACACAGCCCAGCTTACAGGTGTAGCAACGGCAGCGTGCCCGGGCAGCGTGGAGCTGCACGCATGGGAAGGGCTGCATGCAGACCGCAAACAAAGCCCCCAGCACAGCTCCCCGCTGACTGCTCCCGCACACACACACAAAGACCCCCGACTCCTCACGATTTCCCTTGCGCACCCTCCACTGAGGCTCTCCTTGAGCTCCGGAGCGCTGCAGCGGTGGCCCCGAGCGCAACGGGACCCCGCTTTGCCCCACAAAGCATTCGCCTCCGGAGCCCTGCGCTAAGCAGGAGCCCGGTCCCACGTGTGCAGCCCTGTGCGGGGCCGAGGGGGCCGAAASGCCCGCGCGGGAGCCCCGGGGGCCCCGCAAGAGCAGCGGCGGCTCCCGGGGCGCGTTCCGGCGGGCGGCGCGGCCCCGCAGCGAGCCCGGGGAGGCGCGCGGGGATGCTCGGAGGCCGGGGCGCCCCGCGGCGGGCCCTACCTGCCTGAAGTCGGCCGTGAGGGTGACGAGGGCGCCGTCGGGCTCGCGCAGCTCGAGGCTGATGCAGTCGGCGCCGCTGTCGGCGTGCAGGCTCTCCTCGGCCACCTGCCCGCCGGGCAGCCGCACCCGCACGCGCAGCTCG